CAAAATTCAACACAGCACCAAAAGTCATTAAAAACTACGTTCCATTATACTTTGAGTTAATTAAAACTTCAAACTAAAAAGTCCTTTCAACGAAACGTCAAACCAACTTCAAAGAATATCTGCTTGCAACGGAACGTACAATGACATAACTAGAGCTGTACCAAATAGGTTTTTGTTGTCGATATCAGATACGCTAAGGAAGTGTCTATAGAGCGGGGCGCCCCGCTAGATAGTTATTTAGTCTATAGAGCAGGGCGCCCTGCTCGATAGCCGTCTGTCACTGATCTAGCTATCGACCAGTGCAACCTTACATTTTGAATTTGACAAGTGATTTGAAGAAGTTTCGAAGTTTGTTTTGGTTGATGTTTGGTTCATTTTAGCGGAATTTCGGCTTGTGATCGTGAATAAATTGTATTGTTGTGTGTGACTATGGAAGGCGATAGCAGTATTGGCAGGCACAATCACTAATATTTTCAATCGATTGACGATTAAAACTAAAAATTTAGTCACTAAATTGTCGTGATTATGATAGTCATGGTCATGATTAAAAATTTAGACATGATTAAATTAGTGATGATTGAATATAATTTAGTATTAGAAGTGATGAATTTTTTTCTGGTTAGTGTTAGTTTTTATTCGACCTTCAAGGGACCAACTTACACTGGTTATTCTAAGTAACTGTATGTCAAACCAGTGTATGTTGACCCCTTCAAAGGATAGGTTAATGTGCTGCTCACAGTACATAAAACAATACTTGGAATTGCTTTGCTTGGCATTTTGCACTCCTTGAACCTTTTGTTTTTTTTGTGTATTGGGGGTTACAAAACAACCAATAAAGCTGAAAGGAGTTCATATGGATAGTTGTTCATTTTTACGAGTACCTTGAGTACTCAGAGTATCCATATGAAACATGAGTCGAAATATGAAAAAAAAAATTTGGACCTCCCATAGCTACAAAATGAACTTCATTTGTATCATTTGTATGGGAGTTTTTATGGTTTGTTTTATAACACGTTGTATACGATATACATATACGTCGTAGGGGTTTATCGGGTCGTAAGGGTTGTTCGGGTTGTATAGGTTCTTCGGGACGTAAGGGTTCTTTCTTCAGGTGGTAAGTGGGTACACAATCAAATCAAAGTGGGTACACTTGCCCTGTACTTATACCTACCATGATACCTACATACGAGTCGAAATAACGGGGAAGCGGCGCCCCGGGCAATAGTCAAACCACAGGCAAAGCGCTTTTTAGCAGGGCGCCCCGCTCAATAGCCTATCCATAGACAAAGCGCTAGTCAGCAGGGCGCCCCGGTGAATAGCCTACATGACTATCGAGCGGGGCGCCCCGCTATATAGACACTTCCATACGCTAATACCTAGGTACCGACTAGGTACTGATGATAACATGCTTCGTATCGTAAGTTATCGCACGCAAGCAAATGTAGAGGTAGGTAAACGTGCGCACAAAATCAACAAGGTGGCGTACCTACAGTAATTTCACCTTTTAGGAAAATAACAGCGACATCCTATATCGAGTAGGTACCTAGCTAAATCAAAATATCTTTCCTACCTATACAGGGTGTAACAATGTGTAACAACCGAAGGGTTGGCTATAACAAGCCGAAAGTAGGTCAATCAAGGTACCTACTCATGAAACTGGACAAGTTTCTCAATAGAATATGGGTCGAAATATGAAAAAAATTGACCTCTCATGGAAGGCTTACAATCGGCTGATCGGCGATTTTGTATGGGGGCCCAAATTTCTTTTCACATTTCGGCTTATGTTCCATGGGCAAAGTTGTTCAGTTTCATGAGTACCTTGTTCTTGTTTCGGCTTGTTATACCCTTTCTGTTACTCCCGGTATATCTATACCGCCGCGGTATTCAATTCAGACAGTCGAAAGGTTTAAATTATGGTACGAAACCCTTGCTCACATTGTGTCTCATCATCATCATCCTCCTGCCCCTATCCCAATTACTTGTGGTCGGCGCAACATGATTTGTTTGAACACAAAATATGTCTGTACCTACATAATTTATTAATCGGCCGAGTTGAGTTCTTTGATTAAGAGTGACTCCCACAAAATATACCAACCCCTACCTAAGGTAGATACCTCATTGATGGGACGAGATAGGACCGACCCTCAAAAAAGGGTGAAGTAGCTCCTACTTAATTAACCGGAAATTTACCTTTGAAAGTCCTATCCAATCCAAACCTTTTTATATTTCCGGATTTGAAATTCAATTATTCATTTAATTTTTAACCCCCGACGAACAAACCAAAGGGGTGTTAATAAATAAGGCTTGGATTGGAGTGTGTAACTTTGGAGTAGCTATCTATACCATTACGAGTAGGTAGGTAGATTGGTGCCTACTTACCATTTTACATTTGCGTACTAAAAGCTACGTCAAAATAGAGGTAATAGAAGAATAAGGCCGATTACTGCACCTGTCGACACTATAGCTACGACCACCCTATACCTAGAGTACTTTTTGTTGGTAGGTATTTCGAAGTTGCATCGATGAGAACATCTTTAACTCCTACCGTCGGATGCTCTTGCACCTACCTACATAATAATGACCTATATGAAAATTGGTTTTGATGAAACAATAGTATTGTTTTTATTCATGTAGAACTAAAGTGCATGCATGTGGGTGCGTCTGCCAAGTTCTAAGCACAATCACATCGCACTCTGTTTACGTCAACTGCCTCAAGCTTCAAGCAAGCTTAAACCTCTACGATCCACGATCCTACTAAACAGATCTAAATAAAGGGTTCTCCACATACCTACCTACTTAGGTAAAATAGGGTCCACTGCTGAACAGACGAGTGATAGAGGCTAAGAATTCTACCACCCCTATTTTCTACTCAGGGTGTTTCGTAAAAGGTGACGTAGAGTTTTTGACCATGGCTACAATATCTGCCAACTATGATCAACAGTATGGTGGCGGTTATACCACTTACGATAGCATTCCCAAAGAGGGTTGACGTCAGGCAGGTGGCCGGTCGTAAAATAAAAGCCAAATCCTTTTGCAACCTTTTACAATCCGTAAAACATGACTTTGTGTTCAAGCACTACCCCAAGTAGATAGGTAATAGGAATAAGGGCAGGAACATGATGATGACATAATACTGTCCTGCTTCCTTCTAATAATTTAAAATTGGAATTGTATCTAGAATAACGTAAAAATATGCTTTTTAACGCGGAAATAATGCCACTTTGCAAGAATTTAGAAAAAGTTAGCGTTACTGAGGCAACTAACAGCGACATCTTTTATCGAGTAGCTTAACCAAAATTGTCGTATTTCTACATACGGTACATACTGCATAATAAAAATGACATAAATGCCCATTCGGTTCATCATCATCCGATATAAGCAGGTATTCTTTTGACAACTAAGAAGCTTTGGCCGGTCATAAAAGAAATGTGGTTAAGACAATGGTCGTACCTCTATACTTGTAAACTTCTATGATCCTGTAACATTCATTAACTTAAACTTTAGCTTTTACAACTAACGCCTAGGTACGGGTATGAGGCCCGGACGTAGTGTGGAGAGAGTTATTTATAGCTTCACATTTAAGGGCCGGTTAGTCCACAGTGCGCCGTCTCTTCCATTTTAGATACGTGTGAATAGATACGCTAATAACCTCACTTTTGGCCATTTTTCTCCTTTTTCCTTCATCTTGTCAATATAGCACATTATTTCAAGAAACTATCCATTAAATTATTTAGATCATGTGATTTCCTTTTTTTGATACACTTTTATTAAACATAGTATTAATAATTCTTTATATAAAACTGAAAAAAAATGTCATAAAATAAGCTAAAATTACCTATCTTTGGAATTTTTTATGATCGAGCAAAGTAATGAATATCGTGTTTTGAACCATTAATTAATAGTTCATGAACAACAACATTATATTTTTTCTGGATCAGAAAAATGATCATTTCATGCCATATAACTCAACTGAAAATAGATCGATTGGACTAACCTGCCCTTAACTACCTATACCTATATACTTCCACGCACAGGAACAGACAAACTGATGGACTAAAAAGTGATTCAAGAAAAAGTTGCGTTTTTTTTATGCATCCAAAAGTAGGTGAGGAACCTGAAAATGCCAAGCGCCAATATTTTTAAGAATGCTTATGAATTTTATACGGCAGAATTAGCGCCAATAGGCCGGTTGTTGTTTTTCCCTATCTAAGATTATGATGACGCATAGTTGCCGGTATATGTTTCTGTTTATCATTTTGGGCACAGCATTCGGCACGTAGCAGTCGGCCCAAGTAGTTTCCAACATGGCACCTGAAATTAAATACACGAAGGTAAAAAAGTGTTTTTGAGTTACACCGTATTTTAATACAAAAAAGTTAGACGGAAGTTTCGACAGCGCAGCGTTTAAATGTTTTTAACGTACGATTTGACGTTGTCGAACGACTTAAACCATGTGTCTAACTTATTTTGTATTAACATCGTTAGTGCTGTTATACTTTAACTACTTCTTTAATAAATAAATTACCGGTTTGTTGATGTTCTAAAAGTTTTTCACTCAATGAATAAGAAGTTCCTACTTGCGTACGTTATTCCTAATAAGTATATTAACTCAATATCAAGTAAGTAGGTATGTATAATGAATGATTTATGTATTAACATTCACAAAAAAAAATACAAAAAAATAAGTGCCTTATAGCGTGATATGCTAAAAACTTGTTGTGATGTGTTGTGTGTGATGTAACATTAAGTTGTTTGTGGTTTTAGTTGTTCATTGACAACAAGTGGGTGGAGTCGGCGAGCGGCAAAACGTTCGACACGTACAATCCGCATGATGGTTCCGTCATCGCCAAAGTCGCCGAGGGAGATAAGGTAAGAAATATGATAGGTAATCACATAAATAATAACTTTCGCTAACAACTATTTAAATGTAATGGAATTTTTAATGCACTCCCAGCGCTATATTATTCCCATAAATTAAATAATAAAATTGAAAAATTCACTATCGACCGCCGGGACTTGAACCCAGGACTGTGGATCACCGTTCCACCGCTCTACTGACTGAGGAACGCTGATCCACAGTCCCGAGTTCAAGTCCCGGCGGTCGCTGGTGAATTTTTAAATTTTGTCATTATTTAACTATTTAAATTTCTATACAGTACCTACATGATTTTTAATGTTTTCACACAACTTACATTAGTATTTATGGCAAAACTAAGTATATATGTAGAGCCGTAGAGCTAACGTAGTAAGGTAGGCTAACTTAATATGGTTTTAAAGTGTGAAATTAATCTGCCAGTTAAAACTGCTAAAACATTTAGGCAAACCTATGCAACCTATGCAAAACAAGTATTCAACTTTGCCGTTTGTAGGCATCTATTGTTAGAACAAGTTGCAGTCACAACTTGATTAGTTATGAACTCTGTTTCGATTCATACAAAATCGTAGTTAGTGAAAAAGAGCTATGTATGAGGGTATCTGACATGCTATTTCATTACTTACAAAAGGTAGGTACAGAGTCCACAATAGTCATCGCCTCCTTTGTTTTCAGAAGATTATCAAATCAGCTGATACTTACCTAGGTAGATAACTCTGCAGGTGCCCGTCATGTGTAACTTCATATCGTACGATATAAGATATCATATGTGTACGATTGCAGAAGGTTAATCCAAAAATAATGTAATAGCCTACACCCTACTTGTATTTAGGCGTGATTTTATGTAATGTAACTAGGCATAGGTGGATACCTATGCCTAGTTCACTTCTTTTTACGTAGGTAGGCACGAAGATGCGGAAAGGTACTCTCAATGGTACTGTCCAAAGGTAGGACTGGTCCTGTGGGAGTTACCCGCTTTAAAGTGTTTTTACCTATTCACATTCAAAAAAAGCTATACCTACACCCAAATCACATGACACATCTTTTTCGCGTTCACAGGCCGACATAGACGTAGCAGTTGCAGCAGCGAAGCGTGCCTTCCACCGGAACTCAGAATGGCGCTTGATGAATGCTTCCCAGCGTCGTCAGATCATCCACAAGTTCTCCGAGCTGATCTCCCGCGACGCCCAGTACCTCGCAGAGCTGGAGTCCTACAACAACGGCATGGTGCTGAAGACATCCGTCATGCTTGCACATGGGGCCGCCAAGTCTGCTGCGTACTTTGCCAGTTTAGCTGATAAGTACAGCGGTGAAACTCTCCCAATAGGTACCTAGGTGATATTATTATCGACGTCTAGCTGGAGTGAAACTTTGGTGTCAGACATGGTTCATTCATATCATCATTTAACAACCGAGATACGACACGTACATTGTTGGGCATAGGCACAAAATTATAGATTTCCCATTGGTTGGGCTGATTGCATCCAGCATCCAACGGTTGCCTTTAATCTTGATCTTTACAAGCCATGTCCGAAACGTCAGAGAATTCTACATACGATCACCAGATGCCATTACAATACCTACATTACAACTACTAACAAAATCTTCTTTCGATTTGCTACCTTCTATTTATTTATTATCTTTCATCAAAATTTGATTTCTGTGTTCACAGACGGTGAAAACTTTGCTTACACTCTGAAGCAGCCAGTGGGTGTGTGTGGTATGATCTTACCCTGGAACGTCCCCATCCTGATGTTCATCAACAAAGTCTGCACTGGTTTGGCTGCAGGTGAGAACCTTAGATTGAGACATGATTTACTCCAGTTGTAACAACCATTTTCAGAAGTGTTAGCCAAAAAACCATGCTTGACTGGTGGATTGGCGCAGTACTAGGTACCTAATTTCAGTTTTGAAGACTCGTTGAAGTGAAGGAGTTTCGTGATCAGTTTTCATTAGACTGTGTATAATCTGCAGAAATTGTGTATAAGCAATTTATATGCCCGACACATTCGTAATAATATTGGACGTTCATAGGATGCACAATGGTGGTGAAGCCAGCTGAACAGACCCCGCTGACAGCGCTGGCTCTTGCAGCTTTATTGGCAGAAGCCGGCGTACCAGCTGGAGTGGTCAACATCGTGCCTGGTTTCGGGGAAACCGCTGGGCATGCGCTCACACACCACCCTGACGTGGCCAAGATCTCCTTTACTGGATCTCGAGAGGTACGTACTAGCTTTACATTCAGGAGGTAACAGCTATAACTAGTGATCTCACTGGACCAGGCTGGCACGGGACCTTGAGGATTGGCGCTGTAGAGAGAAGGCCTATATCCTGCAGTGGGTGGATGTGGGCTGAGGATCATGATGATGATAACTAGTGAAAAAACAATAATACTTTAGGTTAAGGGGTTTTCGTTTAGGAATTCTAATTTTTGTGTTCTCCGTGGTACTAAACAAATAAAATTTTTAGGTTGGAAAGATTATCCAGAGGGCGGCTGGTGAAGTCAACCTAAAGAGAATCACATTAGAGCTTGGCGGCAAGAGTCCTCTCGTCATCATGAACGATGCTAACCGTAAGTATCTATGGTTGTTCCATTAAAGAAGTACCTACATATTCTATTATATCTACTGATAAGTAAACATTTTGGACTACCCACTGTCATTTTAACATGTAACAGTGGAAGAGAGATGTTCCATTACTACTGGACATTATTCTATGGCCCTTTTATAGATAGGGCAGGTTAACCACTTATTTTGGATTACTACCTACAAATATAAATACCTACTAGTAAGTCCGTTGGTCTAATAAAATTGTTGTGTGGAGTAGGTAAACGTAGTACCTACACAGCGAGTTGGTAAATTCACGGACAATGTTTTTTTTATGTCGACAGTGGATTTAGCCGTGTGGTACACAGGGAGTTGGTAGATAAAATAACAGACAATGTTTTTTTTTATGTCAACAGTGGATTTAGCTGTGCACTACGCTGCGTTCGGTGTATTCAACCTGGCCGGTCAGATGTGCATCGCTGCGTCTCGGCTGTACGTGCAATCCGGAATCTATGACGAGTTTGTAAAACGGGCCACGGCTTTCGCTCAATCCATTAAGGTCGGAAATCCCACCGACGCTGAAACTCAACATGGACCACAGGTTAGCAGGAACTTGGATATATTTTTCCTTCCTTATTGATTTGATTCTGGAATTTCTGTGCAACGGGAAAGGAAATAGGTAGTAGCGTTCGTTGACCTTTATGTGCTATTCTTATTTCTTGATAACTTCAGCCGTAAATAATTGCTAAGAAACTCTACGATACGACTAAGTGGGGCACTCTTTGAAGACTTTTGTTGTTTACTTACTGCAGTCGCGGAGTGTAGCCTAGGGCAAATTTTTAATTGGTTTCGTTCTTTATTTCTGAAACGAAGGAAATGACGACTTGATAAAGAATTGGAAAAGTTGTACAAAAAAATAACAATGAAAACATATCGGTTGGAAAAGTTGTACGAAATAATAATAATGAAAACTCTATCTGTTATCTGTGATATCGTTAGTATCAATGATACAGCGAAATTGCCTAAGGTGTCGATTCTTTCAGACTCATGTTCATACAAATTTGTTTACACCCTAAGAAGCCAACAAAAGGCTTCACTTGTTGAGTGAAAATGATTTCTGTGATAAAAACGAATCAATTTATTTTGGCACAGACGGACGAACCTACATTGAACAAGATCCTAGAATACATTGAGCTGGGCAAGAAAGAAGGTGCCAAGTTGATGTGTGGCGGCAAACGTATCGGCAACAAGGGATACTACGTCGAACCAACCGTTTTTGCTGATGTCAACGATGACATGTCCATTGCCAAAGAAGAGGTAAGTACAAGTTGATGTGTGAAAGCAAACATATCGGCAACAAGGGATACTACGTCGAACCTACTGCTTTTGCTGATGTTAACGATGAGATGACCATTGCCAAAGAAGAGGTAAGTAGATACAAGTTGATGTGGAAAGGCAAACGTCCTATACGTAGCATAAGTTAAAGTGACATAGAACCAACTGTTTATGCTGATGTCAATGATGAAATGATCACTACCTAAGAAGAGGTAAGTAAATACAAGTTGATGTGGAAAGGCAAACATCCGATACGTAGTATAAGTTAAAGTTACATAGAACCAACTGTTTATGCTGATGTCAATGATGAAATGACTATTGCCTAAGAAGAGGTAAGTAGATACAAGTTGATGTGGAAAGGCAAACGTCCTATACGAAGCATAAGTTAAAGTGACATAGAACCAACTGTTTATGCTGATGTCAATGATGAAATGACTATTGCCTGAGAAGAGGTAAGTAGATACAAGTTGATGTGGAAAGGCAAACGTCCTATACGAAGCATAAGTTAAAGTTACATAGAACCAACTGTTTTTGCTAATGTCAATGATGAAATGAATATTGCCTAAAATGAGGTCTTCTTCTTTTCGTGTGGGACATCGAGTTGTTCAAAGACCCGATGAGCCCTGGTGTCAGAGTAAGAGGTAAGAAAAAGTTGATGTGTGGAGGAAAGCTATTCTATAGGTTCTAGGTACATCGAACCAACAACTGTATCTACGTGCTGATCTTAAAGATTAAAGTAATGAAGAATATCTGAAAACCAAAGCAGAATAATGTCGTTGGTAAGAAAATAGAGAGCAAGATAAAATGAATGTTTGTTGACATAAGTATCACTCACAATATTACAACATGATAAACGCTATCAACAACTTTACATAACTACCTTAGCAGATAGGCAGGTAATAAACAATAATTTTGTCAAGTCATCCTTGTTAATAAATTCGTTACTATATTTATAAACCAGTTTGTTTAAGCGTTTATAAATTCCAAGGTTGTTTGATAACTACAAACAAGTTTATTAACTTCGCGGTTATCGATAACTGTCACCTTTCTTACTTAGGCAACATGTACCTACTCCTGTAGGTAGGTAGGGTATGATCGCTAGCACACCTTCCATTTAAGGGACCTACTTATAATGGTATTTCATACAAATAATAAGAAAAACCAGCATTTATTTTATTATGGATTTGGTATTAGATGGTATTTACTATTATCTAACACCTTTGTTAGATAAGTACCTAAGTAGTTATTTGTACATCTGTACCGAATATAAGATAGGTAATATACTTATTAACATGATAAACATAACTATTACAATTTAT